GCATTACATAAAAAAAAAAAATTTTTCTCAAAAATTAAAAGATGGACCTGACTTAGAACATTTTATTGCTGATACTTATAAACAATATGATGGAAAATTAAAATTAGAAAAGGGAGACAAATCCCGTTTAAGATTACCACCTTGGCTTAAAACAGAAATACCTATAGGTAAAAGTTATAATAGAATAAAATCACAATTAAGACAATTACAATTAAGCACTGTATGTGAAGAAGCACGATGTCCTAATATTGGGGAATGTTGGGGAGGTGGTATACATGGAACAGCAACTGCTACTATTATGGTTTGTATTATTAATTTAAAATATCTCATTAATCTATATTTTTATTCCAAAATAATTAAAAATATGCTTTCTAGTAATATTTAATATTAAAATTGAGAATAAAATTAAAAATTATGTGAATGAATTTATTATATAAAATATTTTATTATATACTTAAATAATTTCATTATATTTTTATTTAAATTATAATTTTTTGATAACAATCTAAAAAAATTAATTAATTATATTATAAAAATATAATATATGAAAAATAATTTAATATAGTTAATGGGCGATACATGTACCCGTGGTTGTCGTTTCTGTTCTGTAAAAACATCACGTACACCATTACCTTTAAATCCAGAAGAACCAATAAATACAGCAATTGCAATAACAGATTGGGGTTTGGATTATGTTGTATTAACATCAGTAGACAGAGATGGTTAGGTCTTTTTTTATTTTTAATTTATGTATATATTAAAATTTTTATGTATTTCATATTAAAATTATATATTGTAATAGATTTAAATGATGGTGGAGCTAATCATATTGCAGAAACAGTGAAAGAAATTAAAAAAAGGTATATAAAAATCACTTCATTTTTATATTTCTTATAATTATATATATTATTATAATTCATTACTTACATATAAAATAGAGATTTCTTGTATGTATCTTATATATTTTTGCAGAACTAATATTTTAGTAGAATGTTTGGTACCAGATTTTAGAGGAAATAAAGATTGTATTGAAACAATTGTTAATTCTAATCTTGATGTGTTTGCTCATAATATTGAAACTGTTGAACGTTTAACTCCATTTGTTAGAGATAGACGGGCTGAATATAGGTGAATTATATTCTATATTTATTTTTTTAATTAAAATTTATATACATACTTTTTTATATATTGTTTAGGCAATCATTGAAGGTTTTAAAAATAGCAAAAAAATGTAATCCAGAATTAATTACAAAATCATCAATAATGTTAGGATTAGGTGAAACTGATGAAGAAATTGAACAAACAATGAAAAATTTAAGAGAAATTGGTGTAGATGCTTTAACACTCGGACAATACATGCAACCTACAAAAAGACATTTAAAAGTTATTGAATATGTTACACCTGAAAAATTTAAAAAATGGGAAAATATAGGAAATGAATTAGGATTTTTATATACTGCAAGTGGTCCATTAGTACGTTCATCATATAAAGCTGGAGAATTTTTTTTAACAAATATATTAAAAAGACGTAGAAATAAACAGGCTGAAAATCAATAAATATATTTCTTTTAATTATAATTATTGGAATATTTATAATTATTTATATGAATTTTATATTATATAATACAAAATTCATATATGTTATAATATAAATTATTGTAAATTTGTGCATTAAGTTAATAGAAATACTTGTAATTATATTATAAAATGTAATATATTGAAAATTAACAAAATTTTCATAATCTATAATATTCTATTATTGTATTGAATATAATGGTAGGAAAAATACAAACATAAAATACAAATGTTCATTTTGAATGTATACAGAAAATATATTATAAAATATATTACATTATTTTTAATCTGTATCCATTGCAACTGTAACTTGTGGGTCTTGTTGATTTTCATCAGAAGATGGAGGTTGTGGAGGTTTAGAATCTTCTACATCTGGTTCAGTAGGTTTATTACGTTTATCATCTTCAATTTGAGATAAATAAACAGAAATTTCATCTTCATTAAATATTTTGAAATCTGTACCTTTTCCTACTATTGCAATAGATACATTCTGTAATAATTATATATATAATACATATAATAATTATTCTTATTATATTTATATATTAATTTTATTTAATATATTGTAGAAAAGTACATTTATTACCTTCACTGATAAATCAACCTCATTTGGCAATGTATCTCTTAATGCACAAAGACCATGTTTTATTAATTCATCCAGATCGCATGATAGAAGTTCATTAAGATGTTTTTCTAAATATGTACGAGCACTTTGAGAACGTGCACCAATAGCCATTGCTTTACAATCAAAATAATTTGATGAAGGACATGTTTGATAAATATGTGGTCCTTGATCCTTTAAAAAAAATTTATAATATTTTAATATTAATTTATTCTTCAATAAATAATATTTAATATTTCATAACTACTTACATCATATCCTGCAATAAGTAAACCTACACCATATGGTCTTTTATCATATCTTTGAGTACATGTTTGTAATTTATTTCCCAAAGATGCAAGTAAACGACTCACAGGTAATAAATCATCATGAGAATATTTATAATTTAAACATTCAGTTCTCATATATCGACTATAAATAGATAAATAAATTTTTTATTGATAACTTATTAAAGATTTTGCAATAATTGTATTTTTAACAAGATTAATATAAAATAATCAATATTTTATCATTGTCAATATACAATATACCTTAACATTCTAGCATCAGCTGTTAAACCTGAAATAGAAATTCCCATATGTTTATCTATAGGGAAAATTTTTTTCTGATGAGCAGATAATTCTGAAGAAGCTCTCTTGAGTGCAATAAGGACTGCATGAGTTTTATTTTTAAGTCCTACAGTGGCTGATCCTAATTTTACAGCTTCCATTGCATATTCTACTTGATGTAAACGTCCTTGTGGACTCCAAATTGTGACATCACTGTCATATTGATTACGAAACTGAAAAAATATATAAAATATAATAAATTTCTTTAAGTTAAATAGGTTCTATTAGTTATAATAATACATTTTTAAAGTAAAAAAAATCAATATGTCATATTTTATAATTACATGTAACATATTATTAATATTAACATATTATTATTATTTTATAAATTTATTTATAATTTATAAAATAATTATATTTTATAAATTCTTTGTAAATATTATAATAAAGCGATATATCTTATTATGTTTAATCATAAATAATTATATAAAATACAAACCATTTTTGAATATTATATAATTATAATATAAAATATTATTTATTATTTAAATTATTAATTTAGTTAAGATATAATGTAAAATTGCAAAATATTTATCACTAATATGAATTTTCAGAAAACAACTGTCATGCAGCGGTATTATGATTGAATAAACGTTAGAGAGGAAACTTCCTTTATAAATTCTAGTTTATTTTATCTAAAAAATTTTAGTAGTATTAAAGTTTATTTTTTAAAATAAATTAAAAAAAATTTATAAAATGTTTATTAATATATTTAAATATTATATAAAATATTTAATAATTATAATAAAAAAATTGATATAGTCGGAAATCGATGTACTTAAATATCGATTGTTATCGATTTTAATATAACTGTTATTTAACGATCTTAAATTCTCTTCTTCACAGACGTGAGAGGTTACGCTTGTCTCTTGTAGGTTTGATAATATTATATACAATTTTTTAATTATATTTAATTTGGTATTTCATTTTTTATGCTATCAAAATTTATAAAAATTATATTTATTATACTTAAATTTTTTTTTAAAAATTTTTTTAAAAAAAAAAATTTTATCCTGAATTATTTTTATAAGAGAACGCACGTGACAATATTCGTGCATATGTTAATGAAATATATTTCAAATTTTAATAAAAATGTTTTATTTAATCATTAAATTTGTTAAAATTTAATACTAATCGTATAATTACATAACTTTATACATAAAAATATTTTTATCTTATTAACTGACATACCAATCAATTTTAATTAGAAGTATCTTTACAAGAATTATAATTAAATTTAATTGAATTATGTTTATTACAGACAAGAATTGTTAATATGACGAATTCAAAGGGATATCGTCGAGGAACAAGGGATTTATTTTCCCGAAAATTCCGTAAACATGGAACAATTCCATTATCCACGTATATGAAAGTATATAAAGTAGGCGATATAGTTGATATTAAAGGTAATGGAGCAGTGCAAAAGGGAATGCCTTATAAAGTTTATCATGGAAAAACTGGACGTGTATTTAATGTAACTCCCCATGCTCTTGGTGTCATTGTTAATAAGAGAGTACGTGGACGAATTATTGCAAAAAGAATAAATGTTCGTATTGAACATTTGACTCATTCTAAATGTAGAGAAGATTTTTTGAAACGAGTAAAAGAAAACGAAAGACTCAGAAAAGAAGCAAAGGAAAAAAACATTAAAGTACAATTGAAAAGACAACCTGCTGAACCAATGCCTGCACATATTGTATCAGGACGTGAAAATCCTATTTCACTTGCACCTATACCTTATGAATTTATTGCTTAAAATTTAAATAAATATATTCTGAAAAAATTAATGTTATTTTTTGAAAGCATACTGCACATTTTCTATATGTTTTGGATATAATTTTGAAAATATAATAAAAATATTCTATATTATATATAAAATATATATTTTTTATTTATATATGTAGAATTTGCTAATATTTCTAATTAGAATAAAAGATATTTTATAAATTATATTTTCATTGAATTTAAAATAAATAATTTTTACATAATTCAATTAATTTATAATATATAAATTTATAATATAAATAAGAAATAATTTTCTTTAAAGTATTACATGAATAAATACTTCATGAAACTAATAACTTTTTCTATATTTTACAAATCAGGTATACATAATTCTATAAATTTATTTTTATAAATAATCTAATATATAATATTTTTAATTTTTATACACTATATTTCAATAAGATACGAAATTACCATATAGAATTTATTTACTTTAATTACTATATATTTATATTAAGTTCTAATTACAATCTATTGATTGATAAAATAAGATATAGCCAGTTTCAGAACTTTTCTGAATATCAGATGTGAGTCCATAAAAGTCTTCTATTGTAGATGCATCAATTTTCTAAAATAAAAATTTAGTTTATATATTTATACAAAGATATATAAATAATTCTAATAAAATAAATATTATAATGTAAATTATAAGACTTACATCAACCATGTCATCATCAAAAAGTAACCAAAATCCATGGCTTTTAACTATGGAAATATAATGTCCTCGATTAGGCCCACTTCCACAATGTATTACAACTGCTACCAAATCATATAATCTATCTGGATTCACTGCATCGTCACTCTATAAATTATATAAAAAACACCATATAAATATTAATTATAAATTAATTATCTTAATATTAAATATTAAAACCTGAAACAAATCAAAATATAAATACTTACAGTATTAAATAGCCGAAGTTCTAAAGGAAAAACTACTCTATGGGAAACTTTGATGTGACGATTATATTGCTCCACATATTTAAATCTCTTTAGATGCAATGCTAGTATCATTGGTAATTTTTTAACTCTCATTCGTTTCTAGAATAAAGAAATTATTATCAAATTCTTTTTTAAATTTTAAATTTTAATAAATTTTATAAATTTTTTTTATAAAAGTACCTGGGCTTCTTGATAACTACTACAATGATCACATTTGAATTTGTTATCACTACAAAGTGTCTCAGTATTTGAAAAACATCTGAGGCAGTGTGTGATTGAAGTATTCTGATCTACATCAACTTGTAAATCAAAGAAATCCTCATCTTTGCTAGATACAGTCTCACAATTAAGGCAACGTGTTTCTGATGTCAGAATTCCTTGAAATATTTCATGAACCCATGTAGGTTCTGGTGGTGAACCAGCATCACCTGCACCACATTTTCCTCCTGCTGGTTTACTTTGACTTCTCTCTGCTAAAATATAAAATTACTTTTACAAGAATATTTTACTATATATTTTATTTGTATGTGTATATATATATATATATATATATATATATGTATTTATATATGTATATTCAATAAAATTTGCATACCTAAAATAATTTCATTTATATGATTTATTAAAAAATTTAAAAATTCATGTGCATCTTGTTGCATGTAGTTATCAAATTCCTCTGTAAAAAATGATATACATATACATTACATATTTTGCTGATAAATAATTTCATTCTAATAATAAAATAAAATTTTAAATTAATAAAATTAAATTAATATGTTTATATTAACCTTTTTCTTTCCTTAATCTGGCAATAAACTTTTTTGGAGCTATAGATCCAACTTTCTTTTTTTGAGTTGCAATACTATAAAACAAATCGGCTAAACATGTTAATAATGTTTCCTTGGTTCTCTTATTTCTAGCTTTGTATTCTAAAACTTTTTCTCTAAATGGTCGACAAAAATACAAAGCTTGTAATACAGAATTGCTATAACAGGTATTTCCAAACTATAATAATATAATTATTAATATTAATATTTATAATAATTAATAAAAATAAAGAAATAATCTAATTTATCAATATTATTTTTGTTATATTTATATTTTTATAATTAATACTTACATTAACTAATCCAAAATAATGTTCATTGGGAGGAAATTGATCAGAGCCAATATCTCTTTCTAATTGTGATATATTTGCACCCTATAATAATATTAAAATATTAATATTGAGGATATTGATATTATAATGAAAATATTTTATAATTAATTTATTAAATTATTTAATAATATATAGTACATTATAATATGAATATGAAATTACCATATATGTATAAATAAAGACTGAAAAAATTTTTTTATATTTTAATATGATTTTAGAATTTTTTTTTATAATTACAAATTGTTTTTTATCATACTATAATATTTATTTCTAAAAATGCGATAAGCAATGATTTAAAATAAATATATCATATTTATTTAAAATATATGATTATATTTTATATTAAAATAGCAAAATAATATTAAAATATTTAAAATGTTTCGATTAAAAAATTCATTTAATCTTACCATTTTATGATTTAATAACTATTACTGACCATTGACAAGCAAACAGCATGGATTTTAATAACAAAACCTCCATGGTATTTTAACTTATGGATTTAATGGTTAAATTCCTATAATTACATCATAATTTTTATTTTAAGAACGAAAACAATTGTTTAATAATGATAGTATATATAATATATTTGTTAGAAAATGTTCACGTGTATCATTTAACGTTCTTATTAACATATATATTATAAATAACACTTATCTCGATTAAATTATTAATTTTCATGAAATAACTAGAAATTATGCTGTGTACTCAAAAATATTATAAAGGAAATTAATATTGATCTTTAAAAATGATTTTTGTAATGAAAGATATCTCTATAGAAATTATATTCGACAATCTACAAATAAATACTTCATGACTTGAAATAAATACGTTTAAATTTGATAATTTTGTGATCGCTATTTGCGATTATTCTTTCGCGCCAATTTCATTAAAATTATATATGAGAAATGAAAAATAAATGTATTTCATAACGTAGATATATTTTTTAAAGCTTTTATTATTATTTTTATATATATATAATAAGTGATGTACATTAAACATTTATGTTATTTTAAATTTCAGATTTATTTTGAAATTTAATCTTATTTTATATGGTGATTAGTATTGATGTGGAAAACAGTGATTTAATATTATATTTTGAATGCATTACAAACGAAGTTTGTGAAATATAATTGAACATTAAATTGTTATTAAATTGAATGAAATATCATTATTAATTTGGAAATTAAGATGGAAATTAAGTTATTTTGTTTATAATTTTCAAAAGATATATTTGTTTAAATATGTTTGAATTGTATCATTATTTAATATATAATATTAATAATTCTTAATGATTAAGACATTGTTTTATAGCATACATTTAATGTTCTTTTTTTAATCATTAACAATTAAAAGATACGAATTTATTAACAATATATTTCTATATATTAAAGGTAATGTATAAATAAATATTTATTTTATATAATTTTATAAATTATTTAAATATTTATATTCATATGTTTTCATAATAATTTTAAAAATTAATAATTCAATTAAATTATGTATAATTAATTATAAATTATGTAATTTAGTTAATTTTTTATCAATTTTTTTGAATATATATAATTGTAATATTTGATATAATTTACTATATGAATTTTAATTTTAAATTATTATTTATATATTTTAGGAACATATATAAGAAATCTTGGTTTGATATAAAATTTTAAGCAGTAAAATGGCAACTCGTAAGAGTATGTCATGTAGATTAATAGATTCTACTATACATTCCTCTCCAGTTTCTTCATCTCCATTGAGGCGAAAGTCTATACTTCCACAAAAATTAAATAATTTTGCTTTATCAGAAAATGATGATGAAGCAGAACGTTTGGCCCGTCGCAGAGAAATTACTGACACTTCAACAGCAACAATAACTTCTACAAATTCAAATGATAAAAGACGTTCCTTAGGACTTAGTTTCCTAGTAAATATGCCACCTTCTCAAATGGCAGAACGTATATCTCAATGCATAAAGCTTGGTACAGAAAATAAAATTAATCCAAAAAATGCATTTAGTTTAGAAATGATTGATTTTATGACATATATGATTAAGAAAAAAGATGCAAACATGTCTAATTTGCAAGTAGCTACTACATCTTTAGATGTAAGCACTAAAATTTATGGATTTCGTGTTGATGGTGTACATATGGATATACTTAAAATGATTGCTGGAATAGATAAACAAAACAAATATAATGAAAATCAAAATAATATAGAAAAAATGAATTTTCAGGAAGTAGAAGAAAATAATTTTGATAGACAAAAACAAGAGAGAAAAAAAAAAAAAAAAAATAAACAAAAAATATTTGCTACTGTAGATACTTTGAAAATAAATATTGAAACTGAGAAACCTTCATTAATAACAATAGAAGCAGATTTACAAACCACAGATATGTTATATCAAGTAATGTTACCAAATCATGCAAATTCAAAGTTTTATCCACACCCATATAATGATATTTTAATAGACACAGTAAATAATAAAGATATTCGAGATAAAAATACAGTATATAATATTCCAAAAATAGCAAATTTTTCACATATGGAAATCTGTCCTCCTTTATTTTATTTTGATTTTCATAGTTGGAATGCAGATGATGAATTAGAAAAAATTCAATCAGAACAAAGTAATGAAAATAGATTTCAGTTTGATCTTAATGCAAGTTTATCCAATGAAGATGAATGTATATCTACTGGTATGAATTATTTTGATATTGAAATTACAGAAGAGGAACATATAGATAGATGTGTTATGATATCTAACCAGGTAGAAAATATTGTAGATTTTCGTGAAGTTTTAACCAAGACAATGTCATTAAAAGATTCAGAATATTCATTTATTCAAACAAATTTAAATATACATTGGGCTGGTCCATCTCATTGGAAAGTAACAAATTTTAAAAAAGCTCTATTTAGTAATAATGCAGAGACGCAACATTATCAATCTAAAGTAAAAAAAAAAAATAAAGAAATAGAACTATGTTATGATGATGAAACAATTGAAAGAGTATGTGCTAAATTTTTACCAAGTCAATCAATTAAACTACATGCTAGAACTGCTAAAATTGAATGGAATGAAGAAATATTAACCTTACCTCCTGACAAACATTATAATATCAAACAAGCTAGTAAATTGTATCTTCATACAACAATATTTAAAAATTCAGAAAATATAAATGATATCAATACTATTTCTTTAATTAATGACATGGAAAATTATAATCATATAAATGAAAATGATATATTAAATTATTCTAATAATTATCAGGAATATCAAGAAAATGAAAATAACATGATTAATAATGATATACAATCTCAAGATGAATATATATCAGAAACACAGATGCCTTTTACTGGAAACAATCTAGTTGCTGCACCAAAACTTACAAACAAATTATCTATTACATATTGTATACATCCAAAAAGAATTGATATGAAACAATTAAAATATTCTATTTGGGAATGTTTAAAATGTAAAAATGATAAGAATATTCAAGAAACAATAACTAAAAAAGCAATGCAACAAGATACTAACACTAAAATGAATGATAATAAACTTTTCAGTGAAATTTATAAGAGATTACCAAATATATTAACTAAAACTAATATTGAAGCTCTAAGTTTTCCAATTTCTTTTGTATCTCTATTACATTTAGCAAACGAAAAAACATTAAAAATAAATTCTTCTTCTGACATGTCAGATCTTATCATACAACAAGATTAAATATAATTTATCAAATTATAAATAATTATAAACAATTATAATATATAATAAATAAAATATACTTAATATTTAAAGAATAAAATATATTATACTTTAATATAAGATTATATACATGTAATAACATGAAATGTAGAACTCTTAGTATCAAAATTAAATTCGAATTAAAAATAATATTTTTAAATATTTTTTGTACATGAAAATAATAAAAAATTAATATTTTTATATTATATATGGAAGTTAAATAAGCATCTGATTTTTATTTGAATATATATTTTTGAATATTTTAATTTAAATTAAATAAATTAATTAGAATTAAATAAGATTTAATATTTTGAGTATTTAAAATTTGAATATTAATAAATCTAAGTAACAGAAAAGAATCTAGGAAATGAATGTTATGAAAGAAAACTTAATAATATTTTTATTTTAAGATTAGTACTAAAAAAATTAATTTTTTAATAAATTTAATATTTCTTTATGATTTAATTTTCATAATTATTACAGTTATAATTGAAAATATAAATTTTGAAAAATAAATTGAAATTATTTTCATTTTAATATTATCAAGAATTTGTAAATATTAATTGAACATAAAAATGTGTAAATATTAAACATATAAATTAGATAATATTTTAATAATAGTTTATTATTTCTAAGAAATTATTTCTGTAAAAAAAAATAAAATAATAATAAAAAATAGAAAAAAAATTTATTTATAAAAAATGAATTTTATAAAAATATATACGTAGATGTACTTCGAATTTTGGTCATATAAAATGACATTAAATATATCTGGTCTCTAGAATTCAAACTTTCATAAATTATAAAGTTGGTGAACCTGAAATCGCATTGAATGAAAAATTGATGAGCTGTGAGCTGTGAGCATCTGCAGTGCGCGTCGTGTGTTGTGTTGTGAATGGTGTTATTGCAAATAACTTTCAACTGAAAGTTTGTTATTTGGCCTATTATTCATGGCCGCGAAAATGTTTATGCATAACACTTAAAATCAATGTACGTTGCAATTCTTAAATATAAATGAAAAGAGACTGCATTTCATTAGAATAAAAGTCGTTTAGTTGCGACAATATAGTTGTGTCATTCGTTGAGCGGGAACCGTTGAATATTACACAATGGCAGATTTCGATGCAATATATGAAGAAGAAGAAGAAAATGAACAAAATTTAGAAGAACATTACGTGACAATGGTGCCAGATCCTATAATTATTCGTGGAGCTGGCAATATGACCGTGTAAGCAAGTTATTCTTTTTTATATATATGTAAATTCAATATTGTATTTCACGAACAAAGAATCAGATTATAAATGCTATTTTTATATTGTTATTTTTTGTTTATTTTTAATTATTTTTCTTTTACATTAAAAAAATACAGAACATATAATCGGACTATAAATACTGTTTTTATACTGTTTTTATACTATTTATATTATTTTTTTTTTTACATTAAAAAAGTACATATAAAATATTATAATATAAAGTTTTTTGAAATATATAAATTGATATGTTATATTTTTTATTATTTTTTTAAATTCATTTCTATAAAAAAATCATAAACAAAATAATTTAAAAATTATTTTTTAAATATTTATAAATCAATATATATTTATAAATTAGAAAATGTATTTTTACTTGACATATTAAAATTGTAATTATTATTTTAGATTTGGACTTAGTAATCGTTTTGAATCAGAATTTCCAAATGGTTTAGTATCACGTGTTGCTCCAGAAGAATTTAAAGCAACTGTTATGAGAATAAACAGTGTATTAAAAAAAACATTACCAGTTAATGTTAAATGGTTATTTTGTGGTTGCGTTTGCTGTTGTTGTACATTAGGTTGTTCTCTTTGGCCAGTTATTTGTTTGAGTAAAAGAGTAAATATTAATCTTTATGAAGATATATTTATTATTTTATATATAACTATTTTTTACATATAAATTTAAATAATATAAAATTAAATATCTGATAACATAAACAATTTTTATTTTATTTTTTATAGACACAACATTCATTAAATAAATTATTAGAATGGGAAAATAGTAGATTATATCATAAACTTGGCTTACATTGGAGATTGGCAAAACAGAGATGTGATAGTTCATCCATGATGGAATATGTAAGTAAACATAAATTTAATTTTTTATTTTTCTTTTTATTTATTATTTATTTTATTTTAAAACTTAATTCTATTTTTTATTATTCTATTATTTATTTTATTTTAAAACTTAATTCTATTTTGTACATATATCAAAATTATTTTATTTATATAAATTTCTGTTATATTTTATTTATTTTTTTCATTTTTCTAATTATGTAAATAGTTAAGAGAAGCCTTGTTAATGTAAACCAGCTTATATTTTTAATTACATTATCTATTCTTAAGCATTGATTTTTGTTTAGATATAGAGATTTTGTTTAGATATAGATATAAACATACACTTATTTGTTTTCATCTTTTATATTCCAGGTTCTTTTAATTGAATTTATTCCAAAAATACCCATATATAAACCTGATTAAAGAAAAGATCTGGATTTTCGTATGACCTATGCACATAAAAAATTAGTGCAAACTCTAAGATATGAAAAGCCAATAGCTTCTGGCTTAATTTTAAAATAAGAAAATATAAAATGTCACTAAAAATGACATTTGTGGGATGCTTATTTTTGTAAATATTATATGTAGGATTGCACAGTACAATAATGAGATATAAATGCAGAACAGTTATGATATATCTTATAAAATTTATTTTACCAAGTATAAAATGACAACAACTTATGTATTCATTTTTTATAAAAGAGATGGCTTTGCTTTTAATTTTGAATTATTTATAAAAAAATATCAACAAATATTTATGAGTTTGCACAGAAAAAACCAAAAAACGGGATTATGAATATTTAAAAAGTACTGCTTAATATTTAGTTTACTAGTCATTAAAACATATTTTTCTTCTTTTGTTAATAATTTCTTAAAACCTATTTCAATTAGATATTAAGCTTTCAGGTAAGAAATTAATCTGACTACAGTACAACGAATGGATTTTAAAATATTTGTGATTTGAGAGCGAATAATAACTATCAAGAAGTTCTCATATAATTACAAAGTGCAAAATCTATAAATATCCGATTATTTATATGCAATATAAACACTTATTTTATTTATAGGTTGATTTCTTACCAAGGTGATATTAGAAAATATAATACATATAAATATGTTTTACTTTTTGACATAAATTTAAGATAGCAAAAATATAATTGCTATTAAAAAATAATGATATTATTTTCAGTTGAAATATAAGTTGTTTTGAACTATGGGTAAACTATTTTCTTATTATAAAAAAAAAAAAGAACTAATTTTTTGATTAGTCATAGCAATTTTTAAAAAGAACTTAAAAAAAGAAATTAAAAAAAAGAATTTAAAGAAAGTTTAAAAAAAAAAGAAAAGTACAATTGTTATATAATATATAAATATTAAGTAAAAGATTATCATTAAAAAATACATTTACTACAATGTTTTTTTAAAATTTTAGAAAAATTTTTTTATTCTGTTTTTATATCACATTAAATGGTTCTGCACAGACATTTCTTTATAAATAAATTTTTTCTTTCTAAGTGAAAATTTATATTAATACATTGAAATAGCTATAATAATTTATAAAAAAATACATTATAAATACATATTAAAATTTTGAAAAACATAAGAAATATATTTATTTTTTATTTAATGGCTGTGATTGAGAACATAAGACTAGTTTTCATTTCAAATATATATTCTATAAATTTCTTAATGATATATTTGAGCTTACATAAATTCATAATAAATATTTTTCTGTCGTTTTAAGGCATGTACTTAATTTGCAAAATTATTAATAATTTTTTTAATATCTACGCAATAATTTATATAAATATCACTTTGAGAACATAGAAAAAACATTTTTATTAATAAAAATAAATATTAAATAAAATAATTAAAATAATAATTATTTATCATAAAATATTACAAATTTAATTTGTAATATTTCATTCTAAATTATATGAATTATTGATACTTTATTTGAGATGTACTGTGCAATGGAACCATAAATGTAAAAATATTTGATCTTTTTTGTCTCATAAAAAATATATTATAATTATAATAATATTATATAAAATTATTAATTGTAAGAGTCAGTGTGCGTTTATGCTGTCTATTAATAATTTATATATTTGTAATTATCAATGGTTGTTCATTCTTTTTCTTGAAATTAATTTAGGTAATACAAGTACTTTTTAACATTGTTAAGTATATAAATATAAATGTTTTAAAAATTGTATTTTGATAAACAAAAATTTGGAAATGTAAATTATTTATTAACACTAGAACTTTGGATAATAACTATTTTAATTATTTTTGCTTTTTTTTCCTTTTATTATTTTGATCTAGTATTTAAAAATGAAATTAATTTTATTTTTTAATTATATGATATACATTATATATATTATATAATATATTTGATATGTCATTAAACATTTAATTGATTATGAAAATAATATTACTGAATAAAATTTAAATTAAATGATTATACAAAATAAAAGATTATTATATAGAATAAATTCCAAGGTTCTAGGAATAATCAAGAAACATGAATTTATTTCTTCTAAGTTGATGTAATTGCATTTAATACATCAACAGAAATTAAAAATTGCATTTTTATTTGATTTACATATTATTGGAATATTAGTGGAATGCATTAATTTCTTGAATTGTATTTTTTTTAGATAAATTTTTTTATAGATAAATTGCATATTTTTATGAATGTGATTATTAAGAAATTTATATTTAAAAAATAAGACATCACAGATAATTAATAATTTTAAGAAATCTAGAGTTCTAAAATGAAAAAGTTATTAAATTATTTTGAAGAGAGAAGTTGGAATTGTTTTGCATTAAATCTGACAAATTTACTAGTACTTGGAAAAATAAACATTCTTATAAAAAAAATATTTCTTCAGAAGTAGACAAATTTATTTATATATTAATATAATAGAAAAGATTGATATAAAGAAAAGAATATCAGACGTTTTTAGCCAATTTATATAATATTCTTGGGCAGATACAAAATTTATGAAACAAAAAGGATATATTTTTGATAGGCAAAATGAATAATGAAATGTAATATCATTTTTGTTGTATTTACTATAGTATTACATTAATTATTTTTTGTGAAAATGTAATAAAGAAATTTCTAGAAAATTATAGTAAAAGAAATAAAATTTTATTTAACTAACCTAATGAAATAATTTTTAAAATAAATATAAAATATATAGAAAATTTAATATATAAAATATGAAACATAATTTATTGCTATTGCAATAAAATTTCATTTTTATGAAAATAAATAAGCTATCATATTTTTATTGTGTGCCTTTTACTTGTAGATTATGTAAATTGTATATATTATATATTGAAAATACATTATAAATTATATTTCCATGAATTAATAGTGATTTCTATTTAATGCATATACTTATATTTTCATGTATTAAAATATAAATCTTTATATTTCACAATTCAGTTAATGTTAATTTTATATTTGATTAATATTATCTATAATTCAATAATTTAAAAGATAGATTATATTTTAAATTAAAAAAAAAAAAAATTATATTTAACAGAAAAATATAAAAACTTTTTAAATTATATACTATATTATATACTATATATTTAATTGTTATATTCAATTCAATGTAAAAAAGGATTTAATTATAATTTTGTTATTATTCTATAATATTAAATATATTATTTTATAGTATTTAATTTTTCCTAGAATATTATTTTTATATTTATAATAATATTCATTTTTTTTTATTACAGTTAATATTATAATTAAAGAAAAATTTCCTTTAAGATTTTAATTTTATAAAAATATAAAATATATATATGTAATATATATATTATATAAATTTTCATTATTTAAGATATAATATATAAGTGTATATATGTAAAATACAGATCTGCTTCTAATCACATACACATCTAAGCTTTTATTTGCATTGAAATGATATTTGCTAAGAAAAAAATTTGCTAAATATTTGCTAAGAAAAAAATTTGCTAAATATTTGCTAAGAACAATTCTATGTTATGATAATTAACGACATATGCCTTTAAAGTTCTTAATGAGAAGATATTATTAGTCATGATATTGAAAAAATATTTGATAGAGAAAGGTATATAAATTTTAAATAGAAGCATATTTTTTATGATAATTGTATAATATATATTTTTTATAGATATACATAATATATTTTTTAGATATTATTGCACAATAATTTTTTATATCTTTCATGCAAATATATGTATGATTTCATATACAAATGATTTCATTTAATAAAATAAATCTGCAATTTATATTAATATTAAATATATTATTACAATCAATTCAATGTATTGAAATTCCAGTAAATGAAATCAGGTGAGACATGAAAGATTTGATAAAAATTATAAATAAATTCAATTAATAAAAAAAATTGTTATATATTTTCATTTATATATTTATATCTATTGTATAGTTCTTATATTAAAGGAAATTTATCATGTCCAGTATCATTAACAAGTTTGGATTTTATTTACAATTTTTTACAACCCAATTTAGAAATTGTATGGCCTTATGAAGTTCGTTTTTATTGGTTATCATTACAACCATTTGTTAAATTTATGCGTTTTTTACTTAGCTATATAATACCATTTATTAAAATACTTGGTAAGTGAAAAAGAAAATTAGTTTTCTATATTATATGATAATTGTTTTTTTTATGTCATATAAAGCTTATATAGCTTATTATAATACAATAAATTAATTATTTTATACTATTATTATATTATTATATTATAAAATATTATTTATATTAATTATTTATAAGTGTAGTATTAAACATTATTTCTTTTGTAATGTTAAGTACACCTATACTTTGTGAATCTAATTTATCGCTTTATTTAAAAGCATTGGCATTATCTGATAATGGAGCATTAATATTTAATTATGCTGTGGGTATTGCAAAGTCACATTTTATATTTGTTAATAATCTTTTTATGGTAAGTATAAATAAATTAGTTAATTTTGTTCTATATATAACTAGAAATTTAAATTAATAATATTTTTAGAACAATAGATTTCTATGCAGCTTAAATTCTGTTACTATGGAATTTTTTCAATTTACCTCAACTTGGTTGGTTGTAGTTTTCACATGGGCATGAGTATTTGCTATTATATTTCTTTTTGAAATATATGGTCATTATAATAATTGCTCTGAAATAATAATTATTATTATTTTGATATGTATCAGTTTTATAATATCATTAACAAAGTTATATTCAGGAGGTAAACTTTATAACTTTATATTCTATTATATTTTTTAGCTATTTATATAGTTATTATATTTATAAAAATTTAAATTTTAGTGTATTTTATCATATTTTCAGGCTATGAAACAGATAGTGTTTTTGAATTTATATCATGTCAAAAAAAAATAAAACCATAGGGTAGTACTATGTATTTTTATATTGCATTATCTACTTGGTTACCATTACTTTTTATATTTATTGGAAATATTTTATTGATTATACATATGAAAAAAACTGAAAAAATCCATTGTCAGTTAACTCGTAAGTAAATTATTCAAATATCTTTTATAATTGAAGAGATACAAATATATTTAATGACATTATTTTTTAGAAAATTTCAGATATAAAATAAGTAGAATGCATCATACTTTTAAAACATTATTTGTAATATCAACTGTTTATTTAGTGTTACTATTACCCCTTGGTATAGTTTATACTAGAAACTTTAGAACTTTATTAGAATGTTGTATAAATTCCCTGATACTAAAATAAAGAAAAAGACAGAATATATACATTGGTATAAATTTATAATAAACTTAAATATATATACAGATATATATATATATATATAATAAATCGATAGTTTTTATATGTTACAATTATTACTTATTTTTCAGGTTAAAAGAAAAAATGTTATTAAAATGGTCGTGGTTTATGCTTTCACATATATCATTGGAATTTTGCAATTAATTTCTTTTTATATTATCTCACAGATAAAAAATTTAGAAATGTTATTATACAGACAGTAAAGCATTTTAAAATTATAATTTTTTCCATCTTTTCTAAATATATTAATAAATATATATCATATTCAAAATATCCTATACATTTAAAATCTGTGAAGTCTTTGAATGTTATAAAATTTATTGATAAAAATTATCGCATTCAATGAATATTCTATCTCTAGCCTTATTTTTTTGCAAAATGATAGCGCTATTATCATAAATATTTATAAAAGATTATATTTATGAAATTTTATAAAAATTTATAAAAATTATTAACATTAAACATCGCAAAATAGTTTTTATGTCAACATATAGTTTTGATATTTATATTAAATTTATTATTTTTATTTATTTTATAATAAATTTGATATCACTTGTTTATATTTTGTACTAATCTTATTACTTATACTAATCTTATACTTTTTACAATTTATAAAAAATTAATATTATATATAATATTAAATAATTTATTTTATATGCATAATAAAAATGATCATTAATACAACTTGATATCACATTGTATATGTAACAAGTTTAGAAATATATAAATATGTTTAAAAATCAATTATTCTATAAAATTATAATTATTCTAATTTCGTTTTTTATAAATCAAACATCTGATCCCATATAGATCATAGAATTAATAAAATTATTGATTATTAATATTGGAATTGAAATTTTCTTCCACATTTCTATAAATTTTAAAATAATTTATTTCATGTTGCAGTTGAAAAGTATTTACTTATATATATACATTCTTTTACACAAATATTTTTAAAATAGATAATAGATAATTTCCTTTTAATTTTTAAAATATACGCAAATTAAATTTTTAAATATATTTCATTGCAATAAGCATATAAGTATTTACATATGTAACATTTAAAGATAACGAATATTTAAATTTATATTTTCGAAATTACATATCTATATACTGTACATTTATTATATCATTATTTTTATACCAGTAATTCCAATCAAAATACATTTTAAATATTACAAATTAAAATTGATATGTATTAAAATTAAATGACACTAAATATAAAATATAATATTCACATAATATTTATTAAATAAGGCTTTTTTTATCTTTTTTTAATTAATAGATATTTTTGATTATTTTAAAATAATATGTAACAATATGTTAGTTAAACAAAATAATAATAGTAATATATGTTTAATTATAATTCATATATTTTTGAAATTTTGCATTAATTTTAATAAATTTAAAATATTTTTAATGAATATAAAAAAATATAATTATTCTTTTTAGATGTACTTATATATTGCATATTATATAATTTTTTGAGTCAATAAAATTACTAATTATAAAATAAGTACAATTCTCTATTACATAAATATAATAATAATATAAATAAATTATAAATCATAAAGGAAGAAATCATAATTTTGATATTAAAATATTTTAATTTTAAAAATTGAAAAAATATAAGATTATTAGAAAATTTTGTATATACATTTTTTTTTTCATTTGTATATATTTCAATAAGTAAAATATTTTAGTAAAAAATTTTATTTTCTATTTTTATTTTTTTTTCTAGAAAATAATATTTTTGAATTTTAGAACATATTAATAGATATTTATAATGTAAAAATAAGAAAAAATTAGTTATTTGAAAAATTATATTGCTCTATTTTTAAATTGTAAAAGTTTCAAAATTGTTACAGTTTCAGAAAATAAATTTGAAAAAAAGTGATAAAAATATCTTATTGAAATTTTTAAGGCAATGCATAATTCAGTCTTTTTATAAATATAAAATTCTTGAAATATATATTTAAACATTTATGACCATTGAAACATGATTTCAATATTAAATCGTAAATTTTTCATTTTTTATCTTATTAATATACCATAAAAATATTTTTTTATGTATAAAAAATAAGAGTTGTAATAGAAAAATTATTGACATACTACTTATAATATACAACATATAAATTAATATAATGAAACATTACGTGGGACTCTATTTACGTAGTTTATTGGAAATTGACCTTTTCTTTGATCTCCACTTTCTCCATATAACCAATCTTGCGATATCCTCGATAGTACTGTAATTTTTTCTCCTTCCTGTTACATATATATATATAATAATATATATATAAAATTTTACATTTATATATATTATATATATAATATTATGTATATATTATATATTTCATACATTATATATATATATATATATATATATATATATATATATAATGTATGAAATTTAGATAATTTTTAAAAGAAAAAGAAAGAAACTTGATGTAGACAAGTGATTTTTGTCATTGATACAGTGTATTATACATATAGGAAAATATAAATAATCTTGATTATTTTTTACATAGATTTTTATAGATTTTTCAAATATTTATATGAATATATTTATATGAATATTTATATGAATATATAATAATTATCATAATTATTTAATATAAAATTTCTTTATAATATAAAGAAAAAATATTAGAATATTTTTGTCTACATCAAGATAAACTTACATCGAATGATAGATCTTCAGTTGTTTCTCCTTTAAAAGGATAAATAGCAGTAACAATATTATCTGGAACATCAGGCATTGGTATTTTTATATCAATAAAATTAATAGGAAATATTCCTTGTTGATTTCCTATTCTACCCTCCATCCAATCTTCATTAATTTTTTTTATTAAATATATTATATCACCTTCTTTGAAAGATAAATCGCCCACATGTGTTAATGGAAAATCATATAATGCAATTCCATAAGGTTCTTCATTATTAATCTAAAAATAAAAAATAGAAAAATGTAAATTATTTTGATAAAATTATAATATAAGTTGAATAACTTACTGAAGAATCATTATTCATTTCTGTTAAATATTCTAATGGTGGTGCAGGTGGTGGAATTGTGGGCATTGGTGGCGAAGGACTATCTTTTAAATCATTTTGCCATGAATTAGTTAAATCCAATGTCATTGGCTTAGTCAAAGACACTATTTTATTTAAACATTTTGAATTAATTTCAATATTATTTATTTTTTGTTCTCTTTTTATTTGTAGAATTTTTGGTGCTGGTGGTTTTGGAGGTTTTGCACGGATTATAGTTGGCATTGATTGAGTATTTTTGAAAGATGTCCGATTGTAAATCATTTGATTATTAGTATGATTATTTGTGTTGAAAGCAAAAAAACATGCGTCTCCTACATGTTTTATAGACTGTAGTGTATTACAATTAGTTACTTCTAATGGTTCAAATGGATCTATTACTGAATTAATTTTCCATGGATCACTTTGCAATGCTTTTTTAGTAGATATTCCAAAAAGATCAAAATCATCTTCAAAAGCACTTTCAGTTTGAGATGTGTTTCCACTACTTGTAAATGCAGAGAGATTTGAGTTTCCATCACTACCAAAACTATCAATGCTAATACCATCACTACTTGATCGAATGGTAAATGTTGGAGATCCAGGTGGACTAAAATCTATTAGACAAACTGATCCATTTATCTTTTCTGATTGTAATATCGTATTTTGTTCTTGATTATTTAATTGTGTTATACTTGAATTGTCATTTTTTTTTCTTCCAAAAAAATTAGTTAGAAGCTCTGTTGGTTTTGTCTGTTAATTATATAAATATAATATAATATAATATAATAATTAATTATATAAATAATATTAAATATTTAATAATTAAATTTAATAATAATATTGATTAATTATTTATTAATTATAAAGTATTCATTTAATAGATATCAACATACTGATTTTTTATACTTTTCCCTTTGTGTTTGTGAATAATTTTGATTAAACTTTGGTGGTGGTGGCCGAGGAGGTGGTTTTTTCTTTTGAATAGGTTGTCGTATTATTGAAGATCCAAAAACATTATTTCTATATAAATCAAAAAAATTAATTAAATTTTTAGATAAAATAAATAAATTTAAATTTTTACATAACATGACAAGAATATTCATATATGCATATTTAGATGTGTATTACATAAAAATACACAAAAATATATGTATAAGAAAAATATTTATTAAAAAATTATAAAAAAATATAAAAAATATATTAAATTATAATATTAAACTTACGTGCTATTCCAATTAATCTTTCTTTGTGCTGTTGAACTAATGGGTGGAGGAGGAGGAGCAGAACGTGTAGGAATTCGCATTTCTGAAAGCAAATCATAAAATGAAGCGATATTTTAAAAGGATTTTCGATAAGATCCGTTACAGCATAATATATGAGCAAACACTCATTATATATTCTCTTTTATACATTTATGCATGCAAATAAAATTACTGGATACAAATATAAAATGGAATTTATAAAAATAATATCTGTATCACAACAATACAGTTTCTACGTTTCAATAATACGTCTACTAAAGTATCAAATATTTTTTGACGCGATACGAATTAAATAAAAATATAAATAGAGGCGGTGTGATAATTAAAAATTTAATAAATCACAGTATATATATTCGTATGTGAATAAAAAACATGACGTAATAATGTTTAATTACGATATCAAATATGTAAATAAAAAATTATGATATTTTTATTTAATTATATAGATATTTTTTTAAATTAAACAGATTGATTACTTTTTTTAAATAAAGATTAATGCTATTGACAGGTTTGTACATACTACTCACCTGTTTTTACGTTTGCGGCCATTTTTCATTGAATACGATTGCAACTACATCTTAAATTATAACACGATGCTTAAAATAAATTGATTGAATAACAATTAATTTTCGTAATTCGATTAGTTAATAATTTATATATCAATCGAAATCTTATTGAATGCAAATTGAAAAAAATATCAATTGTTTTTTAACTGTTTCATGTCATTATATTTTAATGATTTCACTTGTTAAGAAAAAGGAGAAACTGCATTAGTAATGTTTAATTTTTAAAATTATAAATAACATGCCTGTTTTGAATCTTATAATCTTCATAATGAAATTGTTTGTTAGTTACTATTGCTTATTGTTATATTTTAAATATGTATAAAACACACACACACACATATATATATATATATATATATATATATATGGGAAAGCTTTTAAAATTAATATAATTATTAAATTATCTATGACGAATCACATATTTATTTAAAATTTTCAAAATTAAGAAGATATATCATTATTAATTTCCCTAGCTTTAAGATTTCTAGGTATTTTAATTCTATCATAATGGTAATTGAAACTGTAATTGGACTATTAATCTCTACGAAATAATATATATATTAATTACCAATAATTTAAATTATTATTTACTTCATATAAATTTGATTGTACAATATAAAATATTTTTTTTATTTTTTATATTAATATTTGCATAAATTTTATATTAATTTATTGTAATATATATATACACATACATATATACATATATTTAATTCATGTAATATTATATAATAATATTTGCTACCAATGAAATTTTAAAAAATTATTATATAAAAATATAAAATTTATGTAAATATAAAACAATAAATAAATTTTTTGTTTTATCGTATGATATTCGAAATTGAACAAATTTATATCGTTTATTTATTGCAATAATGATACAATTAAAAATTTGTAATTTTTGAATTTGAATGAAGAAATTTATTATTGTTTATATTTTATTTATATTGAAAAAATTTTATAAGTAATATATTTGCAAGAATTTACATCACTAATTACGTTATTATTATATCATATAGATATTAAAAATATATAGAAGCAAATAAAAATATTATTATAATTTATTATAAATTATTATTAGTAATCTCAATCATATTCTCCAGAAATTTATTAATCTCATGATGTTTTCTTTTAACTTTAATTTTATCAATTACTTTAAAAAAACATGTGTAACGTATATCTTATTACTTTATGTATGAAGAGATTTTTTTAAAGAATTATACTCACTTAAGCAAATATTTATCATAAACGCCATTTTATTTACCTATTTACATAATTTTTATTTTTATTGAATATTTATTAAGATTTAGTGAAGAACTTAATGAAGTGAATTGAATTTATGTACATGTTTCAGCGTCAATGAAACGCTCTCATCATTGTATCTTGACTCAAATGATACGAGGACTTATGCACTGAACACACGATATCCAGTATATGAAGAGAATTGCATTAAAATATGAAGGAAAAAATCTCTTATATACATATTCAACACATACATTTGGTAATTTTGCACTTGATTTTTGAAGGAATTAAAAAGTAATTTAGAGATATCAAATAACAGAACGAATGATACATTTTTTTGAATCAAACTATTAATAAAAATTAGAGATTTTATCATTTAATTTTTATAATATAAATTTACAAGATTGTTCTATTTTGAGAAAAAAAGAAAAAGTAGTATAAAAAAAAAATCAAAATAAAAAAATTATTAAATTTTTGAAATTAAAATAAAGCATATACAAAAATTTTTTATGGTTTCATGAATAAATTTTGTTACAATATTTAAAAAAAAAAAATGAATTCCAATTTAAATGGAAATCCAAATAAAATGAAATCTTTAATAATTTTTTAAAAAAATTGATGAATGCTTATTGCTAAAATTATACAAGTAAATTTTATATTACTAAATATTTGCTATATTTTCTTAATATCGCCGATAAATGTATGCATATTTTTGTTTTAAAAGGAATATACATACATATTAATTTTTTTTACGCACATAAAATATTAAATTTTAATATTTAAATGATTTAAATAAATGATAATGTTGAAAATAAAAATAAAGATGTACGAGCATATATGAAAATAGAAATAAATAAATAACTAAAAAATTTATATTAGTGATATTTTCTGATAATGATATATGTAAAACATTTTTAATAATATATCTCCAATTTCAGAAAGAATAAATTTAACTGAGACAATAAATAATTACTCGTAAATCTTTGCGAATAATCTAAGTTGCACAATTTCTCCCATTATTAAGAATAAAGAAAAAAGACTTCCTCCAATATTCTTCAATTAAAATCACAATATACATTATCGATTCTTATTCTAGGCCATTTTTCGTCATGTGGACAAAAAAAAAAAAATAGAATAAACTATTTGACGTAACCGCTATTTAACCCTTTATTTGGTATCTTTTCGATAAACATGGCTTTTATTTACAGCCTACAAAAACAATATTGCTATTTATAATTAATTAAAAAATTACGTATATTGAATTCATATATTTACCATAAAACATTATATATTCTCGATGGAAGAAATATAATGTGATTATTATAAGTTAATTAAATTTTCTTGTTTCTGCAAATTTTTTATTATTTTTATATATTTAGATACATTTATTTAAAAAGATAATTTTATTTTATTTACTTTATTTTTAATATAAAATATTTTTAATTTAAAATAGCTTAATTTTTTTGCTAAAAAAAATTGTCAATTATTTATGAATTGAACTTTTGTATAGAAATATTTTTTTTAATTCTTAAATGATAGATTTTTAAATGTTCAATAAAGTTGAATTGCACATTGCTATTAATTTTATATTTCAAAACTTTTTAATGCAGTTTTAAATCAGAGTTAATCTCAAAAAACTAATTCAATTTTTTCTATCCTATATTTTTTGTTATAGAAAGTAGTATAGTATACTAAACTATGATATATAGTATTAATATAAATATCAATATGAATAGAATATATCTTGTATTTTATTACCAATAAATCAATTCCTAATTATATTATAGGTAATAGAGGATTAATGATATAAGGAAGGAATATTCTTTCCTTAAACAGTTCTTATCTAATTAAATTGTATTTATTTAAAATTCTGGACAGTTTTAAAATTGCACTATATATTTCTTCCAGCAAGAATTAAGTATCTATCGCACATAAGCTATAAATGCTTGGTTATATCAATAAAATTTATGTACATTATGTACATAAATTTATGTGTTAAAATTGTATATTATAAAACAATTGAGGAATTATTATGCATGATATATAATTTAATTATTGTCAGTTATTAAGATAAATTCAAATTTTATTACGTCTAAAACATAGCCGCTTAAATTCTGGCGAGACCAAGATCCTGATTTTTGTGTCCATATTATTAAGTTAAGAATAAAGTTGAGGGGCAGTGTGACGTTACAGTTATCATATAATTAGGTTAAGAATTAGAATAGATTTTGTTCTTAGGACGGGTTGTCATTACTATTCATATATTGCCCCATTCTTAAATTAATTATGGTTCATTATCAGGCATTGTTATGCCCACTTGAAAAATGATTAAAAAGAATACAATAGATCAATGCAGTTTTAATTTTAATATTTTTATTCATTTATCATATCATTTAATTCTTGTAAAAGAAATTTCTTAAATTTTTTTAATTCAATATTATTTTTTTTGTTTTGATTAAAAAAAGCTATATCATGTGAATAATTCCTTTTTATGATCTATGTGAAATCTTGAATAAAACAAAAACAAAGAGTAATTATTCTAAATTATTACATTTTGATCTTTATATTTCCTCCTATTTTTACAATATATACAGATAAAGAGAATGAAGAATTTTATTTTTACTCATTTTTTTCTCCAATTCTACACCAATAATATAACCGAGCGTCTATAACTATTTTACATTATCATATAACACAAAAAAAAACAATTAAAAATAAAAAACAAAAGCCATGTTAACTCGGAACGCGAAATTTTTTCTCTTCACAGAATCTTCATCCAAATAGGATTAATTAACAAAGAAAGCTGGATCCAGCGCGAGCGGAATATATTTTTTCTCTCGGAAGAGTCAGTCTTGAGAATTATTAGGTAGTTCTGGTACAATTTGATCCTGACACGAGGACCTGTTAGATGTAGTACAGACTCGTAATGGTTTTGCGAGCCATGGATGCCTCGGTACGTCCTCCGCGTATGGTCTCTCGGACGGTTCTTTTCTCAGCAATGAACGAATCAGGCATCGAGCACGTGGACTCAGACCTTCTGGTACTGCGAATTGGCCACGTGAGATTTTCGCGAACAGAGATGCATGCTCAGCATCGTTAAATGGATAACGGCCGACCAACATTGTATAGAGTAATACACCAAGTGACCAGATATCAGCTGCTTTGCCAGAATAGGCTCGTCCTGAACGTAATACTTCCGGTGCCACATAGGCTGGACAACCCCGTCGATCAGTTAGTTTGTCATTGTCACCTTCAACGATTACTGCATCTTCCAGGCTTTCTAAACGAAGTCGTGTTCTGAAATGAAAAGAATCGAAATGTTAACATAAATTTTAAGTAAATTTAAATAAATAATATTTTTGATATATTAATGATATTAATTGTGAACATATATCGGAAATTTTTTAAAAATCAATAATATATTATAATTATATTATATATTAAATTATATATGTTAATAATTTTATTTTATGATATTTATATTAAATAAAAATTTATTTTTAAAGATTAGAATTTTATATATTATATTTATATTTTTACTTTTTATAAATGCAATGTATATTTGATTATATTTATTAAATTTTTATTTATTATATTATTATATAATTTATTATATTATTTTATACATTTTTTAAATTAACTTTTATTCTAAACATATTTTTTTTTCTATTCTATTTAGATTTTTAATTTATTTTAGGATTTTAATTTAATGTTCTAATAATATAATAAAACTTCAAGATATTTAAAACAGACAATCAAAAATTTCATTATGTATATAATTCGTATAAAACAATATTGATGATTAGCAAAATGATGAAGCAAAAAAAGTACGAGAGGATATACAAATTTTTACGTATGGAA